TATTGTTGAGGTATTTGTAGATTCCTATCTAGATCTCTGAAGAAAGCTACTCTAACCTCTGAAGGAGCTGGAGATCACAACCCTGTGCTTATGCTTACTGTTCTGGTTTATAAAACCAGCATCTCTTCAAAGGTTTGGTGTGAAGTACAATCTCACGTGCATATGAATCAGTGCCAGGAAGGTGATAGGAACTTTTGGAGACAGGCAGCTATGACTGCATAATATGAAATCTGAAAGGCAAAGCTGCTTGCAGCCTGCTCTGCTGTAAGAAGGAGCAACTTGGAGCTGCAAATGTAGTCTGTGATTCAACGGTCCTCTCTGCCAGGCCAAGGCACAGACTAATGAGGCTGGGATCAACACAGGCTCCTGGCTGTGCTGCTGTGAACCCAACGTGGTACATACTGTACTGTTGCCAGCAGCTTGTGCCAGCTGTAGGAGTGGGACCGATACCCAATCTGGCATCAAGTTCAAGTTCAGGGTGGTGCAGACAGATGACACCTGATCTTGCCTGCTCTGCTGGAACAGCTACTCCTTGAACTACTACTTCGAACAGATCTGAAATGGCAAACTGAGTTTTTACTGATTCTGTAGCCTGCGTCATGGTCTCAGCATTCCTGATGCAGTAGTAAGCATCTTTGGGCAACATTATCCACATCACAAAGCTGTGCCTTGAAGTATGCTGTCTTAACAAACACCTGCATCTGTCATAGGGGGGTTTAGAGAATATGCCTCATAGAGAGGAGATTAAAAAACAGAAGGCAAATTCTAGTTGTGGAAATTTTTACTACTTAGTTGACAGGTGGTTCTGTGCCAAATGCCAGGTCCTGTGAGTGCTTAAGAGTGAGCTCAGTTTTGGCTTCAGTGAGCGCTTAAGTTATCAGGCTGACACTTGTTGGCTGCTGGTGTGACTCAAATCCGAAGCCAAAGAAAGTTTTCTGTGTTAGTAGGGTAAACTTTACAAACACCACTTAGTTTAATTGGGAGTCAGTTGGAGTCTGATTGTAAGTAATAACCCCTTAAGGACTATCAACAAACTTCATTGCAAGTTGGACTGGTATCTAAAGCAGAAAAAGCATTTTTGGTATGTTACTATTGGTGTCCCTTTGTTTTCTGTCAGCTCGAGGAGAGTTTGAATGCCATGTTTAATAAACTACAGCCTGTGTGTGTGTGCATCTATCTGGAAGCAGATTCTGGGACTTTTTTTTAGGTGCAGTTTTGTGTTAATAACACAGAAGTGTGGCCTGTCTTCTCATAGCCCTAAAAGTGAGGTAATCCCTGTGTAAGAAATCAGTAAGTATGGTCTGCTTAATCTAGTCCCAGTGTGAAACTGTTGACATTTGTTCTTTTTTTTCTATCATTATGTGACTGGGCCTGTTTTGTGCTGGATTAGACACAAATCTCCTATGCAGCACATTTGGCATGTTACTAGTAGTTTAACTTCATTAATAATGTATGAAGGAAATGTAATCCATGACAAGGAAGGAAAGAAAAGTATTTTTACAGCTACCAAATCCTCTGGAATGGGTAATTATTCAAGATCTGATGTTTGATGTTATAGTTTACAATTGAGATCCCTTTGCAGAATTAGGGGGGAAAAAAGGCGCACACTCAATATAATGACACTATAAGGAGGGAAAAACCCTGTTCTTTGTTATTTATGCTTGTGTGTACTGATTAAGAAGGCACCAAGTGTGAAGAGAAATACAGATTTTAAAGAGAAATTTAGATTTTTTTTAAAGAGAAAGTGCTTTATCTTAAATGTCATAAACAGCAGTTTATTCATGTCTTAATGAAAAAAAAAACCATAGCAGGATTTTCCCTTTTCTTTGTGGGTAAAAATGCAGGCACTGAATTTTGTTGACTTACAGATACTAAAGGATGAATTATATGTATGCATCACCTAAACAACATAGGTAGAAGTTTGGTCTGGTTGCTATAAATTCTGTTCTTATTCAGAAATTGAGTAACATACTTGGTGTTCCCTCTTGCCTGCAAGTCAGTCCTAAACAGCCTTAGTATTTGTGGTGGCTGAAAAGCTGCTGTGTGGCCCAGAGAACCCAAAGCAGCGGTCAGTCACAGCTACTTGGAGCTCTACGCTCCTGTCGCATTTGTGCTATCAGAGCAACAGCTGGGGGGACTTGTTCAACAAAGATGAGTGTCAGATAATCCTGATGAGATTCCACATCCAACATCTTTTGTAATTATGTCACATTCAGCTGTAATGGAATAATTCAAGCTGAAAGGACAAGCTTTGATCCTTTCTTAAACCTTTCCCTGTGGACTGGCTATCTAAAAGATTTAAAGATATTTCTGTTACTAGACCTAGTGTTTCCTCAGAGAAGTAATATCTCTGAAATAGCAAGATATGTAAGAGCAATATTATTTGCCAAACATTTCTCAAAGCATATTTATTAAATAAAGATGTCAATAAGAGGATGCTGTTTGATAATCAGTAAGTTGGAATTCATTTTAATATTCTTTAACTCAAATGAGTGTATATAAAATGGACTTTATTTAGTAGCGAATCACAGTACTGTAATCTATGAATGGTGGTTTATAGATATATTTGTGTTGAAGCATTTGTTTTGGCAAAGATCATATGCATTGGGAATATCTGCTTAGTGAATTACATGCATCTGAATATCTATTTTCTGCAAATAATTAGTAATTTAAGAATAATTGGATTTTTGAAATGAGACTTAGTGGCCAGTCTTCCATTGAATTTCAATGCATCTTCAGTACCTTTTGTGCTGGACTCTTTTGGAAAACTTAGTTAACACAAAAAGCAGTTTAGGTATGTAGGAAAAAAAAGCAAAAGACCTTGGTGTTCTTTAGAGGATTTTTTATTGTTTGAAATAACAATATTTTGTGTTTGTTAATGTTACAGCTCATGGCACTGGCTATTTCTTATTTCCAAATGGCATGATGTGCCTATGTATATGGAAACTAATGGAGAAACTCCTTGCCTGGGGTCCCTTTGGCCTCTGTTTGGAGGACAGATTTTGGATCCCTAATCTTTTCTGCGTGTCAGATTTATGCCAATGTAAATCCCTTGACTTCAGTAGGCGTTTTTCATTCATTTCCTGGCCTCCACTGGAAGGAGAACGATTTCTTAAGGTTTTCACACATGGACTACATTAAGGGGTCACATTCAGATGGTACTCTTCTGGCGTTTCCATCAGCTAGGGGTCAATAAAGTGCTATCTGTGTTAAGAATATAGGGTAGGGCATGTGTTTAGTCAGCTCCAAATTTCCCATCTGTCAGACATGAGAAATTCAGTGTCTGTTTGTGCATGCCTGCCTGTTTAGGGCCCACGAATCAGTGTGGCAGGGGTCATTTCGAAGGGCTGTGCTGGTGCAGTCCTCTGGTATGCCTCCCAAATAACCCTGTGCGTGCCTCGTTCCCATGTAGCAGTGTTTAATGCTCACTGATGTTTATGGTCCTGATTTTTGTGAGGCCTGTGATAGAAGGTGACCTCTTCAGAGGAGTACGTATGGGAGAGACCTGCTTTCACAGTGTTTTAGAGCCTTCCTTCTCTCCTCCAACTTTCTGCTAGATACATAGAAAGCTATTAATTTAGCCTTAGCTCTTTTTTAATAAATAAAATTAATAACCAAGGTCCTGAGAGAATGTTTTTCTCTCTTTCCCAGGATCTATTTCAGTTTATCTGCAAGCTAATAAATGGTAGTGACTAATGATTGGTATGAGTAAACCTCAGGAGCATCAATTCAAAAATCAACGTTGAGTTTGGACATTTATCCAAGTTAGCTGTGTCTCTTGAGTGATCAGTCCAGACTGGGAGCTTGAAGGATTTCTTCCTCCATTTTTTTCTGGTTGAGAGATATTGTTATGCCTGTGGTTCAGGAGGGTGAAATTCTGGATGTAATACGCAAAATTTGTCTGTGCCTCTGAGGATGGATGCTGAGAACACTGACTTCTTTAACTGTTTCGTATCCATCAACACTGAATGGGTCAGTTACATGCTGTAGCCAGTACAGTTAATATTTTATAATGCAGTTAATCACCCCATTAAACGCAGATGCAAAAAAAAAAAAAAAAAAAAAAAAAAATCTCAAAAATGATGTTTCTGCATGATCCAAAAAGTAAGACTTGGATTTCTTTTCACATCATCCGGCCTCGTCTTCAAAATGAAGTGATTTATTCTGTTATTTAGTATCTTTCTAAATTTGTTGAGGGTGGTTGAAATACTAAAAAGCTGAGTAAAGGGACAATGCTTATTTAAAGAGGGTTGGCAAAAGAAAAGGAGCAGGGAACCTTGTAGACTAGTCAAACTGATTTTACTCTCTTGCAACATTTTGGAACAAATTAATGTACAGTTTGGAAGTATCTGGGAAATAAAGGATGAAAAGCAGCCAAAAATATTTCAAGAAAAAATCATGTTTAACTAATGTAACTGCCTTCCATGGCTGGTCAATGTATCTGTGGATAGAGGCAAAGCAATAAATCCTTCTGTATTCTGGCTTCAGAAAGGCTTTTAAAAGTCTTGCACAACACTTTCATAATGAATTCAAGACGTGAGGTAGGTGAAGCTATTGTAAGGTAGGTACAAAATCAGTTGGGCAATTGTACCGTAGAATAGTTACTAGTGATTTGTGGTTGTAGCAAAGGGCTCTATCACACAAACTTTTTCAGGAGTATATTTGGAGCCTGCTTCTGTTTGAAAATTTCCTTGATGACATGGCTGCTTTTTTTTTTATTATTTTGTTTTAAAGGGTAGTATGAACCAAAGATGAGCTGAGCCACGATTTTAGTTGAGGATGGGATTAGAATTAAAAATGTTTTGGTAAATTAGGAATGATCTAAAAAGTGTCAGGTAAATTCAATGGGTTTGAGTGATTATGTGGTGATGATAACTGCTTTTGCAAATATGGACAAGAAAGCAATAGGGTTAAGCGTAAGTTCTGCAGAGAAAGATTCAGCGCTTACAATGAGTCGCAAGAGATTTAACTGTGTTGTGCTTTTTCTAACATTTGAATAGGACAGTAGCAAGAAGGACCTCAGCTTTTCTCCTCTCTCTGTAAGACTGGATCCAGAATGCTGGAGTTTCATCATTAGGTTCCAAAAAAGAATTAGACTGTTTGCTGGGAGAACAAAGGAAAGCACTGAGTCATTAGATACTTAGGAAGAGGATCCATGAAGAAAGGCTGAATGGACAGGATTCTTTAAGGTGAGAAAAAGAACGCTGGAGGATGACACAATAGTTTACAAATCTATTCTAGAAACAAAATAATGGTCCTGTGGTGAGTAGGACAATGGACTTCATTGGTAGAAAGTTAAATTAGAAGGAGGTTTTCGGTGACTTCATCTGTAGGAAAAAATATTAAATGCTGGAGTATCTTTTTTAGGAGACTGTAAAGTCTCTTTTATTGGGGAACATAAAGAATATTTGAAGCATGTACTTGTCAAGAATGATCTAAGTGTGGTTGTTCCTGTGTTGGAAACTGGGCACAGTAGATGATCTCCTAATGTGCCTTATGGCTATACTTAAGAAGCTATAGTCCATCCTCCATAATGCTGTAGCTGCACAATGCTAAAAGTATAGCTGGAACTAAGATGCCATTATAAAGATGACAAGGGCACCTGTTTTAATTTTTTTCCCGAGTCTGGTTTATGCTGATGAGCCGATTCTTCAGCTACCGCAATATGAAGTAGGGCATGTTTATGGGGGTATGATCTCGTAACTTCTAAGGACCAAAAGAGAAGCTAGTTTTTGGTTTAGTGAAAGCTTCTGTTATAGCTTTGGTGTCCATGTAATTGCAAGGGAAATTCAGATTCAGATACAGTGGTTCAAGTTTCACTGAGCTGAAGTCATAGAATGGCCTGGGTTGAGAAGGACCATAATGATCATCTAGCTTCAACCCCCCAGCTGTATACAGGATCACCAACCAGCAGACCAGGCTGCCACAACCAACCTGCACTTGAATGCCTCCAGGGATAGGGCATCTACAGCCTCCTTAGGCAATCCTGTTCCAGTGCGTTGCCACCCTCTGTGTGGAAAAACTTCCTCCTAATATCCAACCTAAACTTCCCCTGTCTTAGTTTAAGACCATTCCCCCTTGTTCCTATCACTATCCACCCTCATAAACAGTGGTTCTCCCTCCTGTTTATGCGCACCTTTCAAATATTCAAAGGCCATAATGAGGTCTTCCCAGAGCCTTCTCTTCTCCAAGCTAAACAATTCCAGTTTCATCAACCTTTCTCGTAGGAAAAGTGCTCCAGTCCTCTGATCATCTTAGTGGTCCTCCTTTGGACCCACTCCAAGAGCCCCATGTCCTTGTGCTGAACCCACTACTCCAAATGGGGCCTCACAAGAGCTGAGTAGAGGGTGACAATCACCTCCCTCTTCCTGCTGGCCACCCCTTTTTTAATGCAGCCCAGAACACAGTTGGCCTTCTGGGCTGCAAGTGCACGCTGCTGGCTCAAGTCCATGATCCCCAAGTCTTTCTCTTCAAGGCTGCTCTCAAGGAGTTCTCCCAGTTTGTATAAGTACTTGGCATTGCCCTGGCCCACATGCAGCACCTTGCACTTGTGTTGAACCTCCTTTAGTTCTCATGGGCCCACTTCTTCAGCCTGTCCAGGTCCTTCTTGATGGCTTCCCTTCCTTCCAATGTATTGACTGTGCCACTCAGTTTGGTGTCATCTGCAAACTGGCTGAGTGAGGAAATGTATTTGCAATTTGGAAAAATTAAAGCAAATGTAACTAGTTCAGTGAGCTCAGTGTGCTGTAAGGAGACTACTCGTAGTGCAAGTCAGTGCACTCATTGATAGGTATTGTTGCTCTTTAAGTCTTCTGATCTCATTCCCATATCTGCATCCTGTTTACCTGCTGGTATTCTTATAATTGCTTAAGTCTGTTATTGTAGCGCTCAGATTATGTCTAAAAAGGAAATTTTTGAAAGTATTTGTGGAAGAGTGCAAGATATTTGAAGAATGTAATCCCCTTTGAATTAGGATAAAAAGTGAGTTATGTCAAAGTTTGGTTGTAGATTTAGAAATATTTTTGTCCAAAGATTGCTAATACATGTATTCTGTTGCAAACTGCTATGTAAGACAAGATACGTGATGACTCAGTTGTGCAGATGATCTCCTTCTTGGTCCTTTTATCCAATCCACATATGTTAATACTTCATTACTAGCTGCTGTTTGTTATTGCAGTGGTGAAAAGAAGAGAATAGTGTGACTTAATAGCAAAAGTATCTTTTGTAGATACGTGGAAACCTACTGTATCACATGATTTGATTTTTCTTTGTTTATTGAAAGAATAGTTTAAAACTCATGGTTAAAATGAGAACATCTGAAGACAAAACAGTTGCTTACTTATTACCAGAGTTGGTTTTATCTTTTTAATGGATCTAAAACTCAGAGCATTTGAAAATCTAGTCATTGGAGTTCATTAGTTTCCTGTTTTGTGCATGTGACTCTAATATTCATGCTCATGCCTGGTTATGTGAATGAACAAATATCCAACATGCTTTAATGTGTGGAATATTGCAGTATTAAGGCCAGACTATCCCTGTTAAATATAATGTTACATTTACTCTTCAGTGTGAAATACAGGATTTCTTGCAAATGAATGCATCTTAATGTTATTGTATTTAAATTACTACTATGTGATTCAAGGTACTTGTGAAGGTCAACATGTGTAATGGAAATGCAAGTCATGGCTTGAACCAGTGATTAAGTACCTGGCAGGAAGGCAAAGCCAGCCCAGGGGAGCTCAGGTGCATGCAATATGCCTGACTGACTGGAGGGGGTGCAGCCAGGATCCACTCCTTTGCAAACTTCATTTAAGGGCTGGCAGTGGAGGGAAAGGTATCTCCCTAAAGATCCCTGCCTACCTGGGGCCTTCTAAGGGTAAGCAGATTATTTCCTTTGTTTCTATGGCTGCTGCATTTGAACATATTCTCACCTGATGCAGTGCAGGACTTTGCTACCCCACTGTTATTACTGTGTTTTCCATTGTCTGTACTTGAAGGCAATAGAGAAAAGGTGATCTTGGAAGATCTAATGAAGTACTGTTCATATCCTTATATGCACATGAAATCTATAATTATAAGAATATAACATTTTGTGAAACCTTTTAAAAAACTTGCATAATTGTAGATATCTATGTACAAGGAGTAAAGACTTGTAGTGAACAGCGTGGCAAAATACGATGTGAAAGGTTTTGCTTTGTAAAATTAGGGAATCAGCCCAATACATACAAAATACATACAGTGTTGGTGTCAAATTGGCATGTCATGGTAAAATTAACTTGAAATTTATTAGGGAATTCCTCAGGAAATGAATACCTACTAATATTTTTATAGCTGCCTTATGAATGGTATCAATGGAGAACTATTTTTGTAGCTCATTTTATCAATAAATATTGATAAAATTGTAAAACTGTTTCTGAAATAGGAAAGTGAAAATATGGCAAGCCTATTTTTTCATGAGCCTTGAACTACAGGTCCTAATGTTGGAGTGATGCAGACTAGATTTTCTTCTTTGTTTGTTCCAATTTGTCAGATTCAGTAACTAGACCTAGAGGAACTTTACTGTCTTTCAATGTGTCTTGAGAGCAAATGCTTAACAACACATTTCAGTATGTATGAGTCTGAACCTGAATGTGCTGCTCATCCCAGAAAGACATATGACTTTATTTAAATGTAGTCAAAAAGCTTTGGATACTACAAAATATTGAGGGGTTCCAAATTTATGCTTGCTTTTGACCTGAGGAAGTAGGCAATGTCATTTTTTAGAGCACCATTTGCCCAAGTGCCCTGCTATTTCCTGTCTCATCCAGATCAGGAAAATAGCAGATTATTTCTCTTTAAATCAGCTAAGGACTAGCAGCCGTTTCAGAAGTCACAAACTTACATTACTGCTAGAGTTTCTGCTAACTTATGTCAAGTCCTTATATACCATTGTGTGGTTCCCAAATAAGCTGTATTTGCAGTGGAGCTTAGCTAACCACTGTGTGACCTTCTGTTCCTACTTGTGTGTGCATAATAGAAGAAACTCGCTCTTGAAGTCTACATCTGCATAATTTCACATTTCTGAGTAAGAGCTCAGTCAGCTTAGTGGATACAAAATCTCTCTTTTCACTTTCTTCAGTTGAAGTATTTAATGGGAATCAAAAGAAACCGTTAGCCATTTTTTTTTTTTTTTTCCTATGGATCATCCTAGATCAAAAACCTAAATTACATTTTAGGTTTGTAAAGACAATGTTACATGAAAGTTTTAGGTGATTACAACAGAATACGCACATAAAAGGTAGCCTTAAAGTAAGAATCAGCCTACTGACTGACAAAAGCTTAAATTTCTATTCCTTCCCCTCCCTGCCACATAAGCTACTTCTTCCCACATGTTAGAAAGCTGAATGCTTTCTTCAAGAAATGGAATTAATCATATCCCTTCCCTACAGCTTCACTGTATCTTCCGAAAGCCTATCTATCTTTGGTTTCTCCTGGCTCCTCTTCTCTCCTTCCCAGAGCTGAACACTTTCTGAAGTGCAGGAATTTCTTTTTAACTTGTCCAGATTTTTTTCTTTTTTTCAAGGGTGCTAAAGTCAGATGCATAAATAAATGTGATGAATGTGTTTTGTGGAAGAATAAATATCCAGTGTTTCTGTACATGTTTTTAGTTTTATATCAAGCTAAATATGGAGTAAATTTTCACTGAAAATCATAGAATGGCTTAGTTTGGAGAGAACATTAAGGATCATCTGGTTTCAACCCTCTGCTTTGGGCAAAATTGCCAACCACCAGGTCATGCTGCTGAGGGCTCTATCCAGCCTGGCCTTGACTACCTCCAGGGATGTGATATCCACAACCTTCTGGGCAGCCAGTGCCTCTTCCTCTCTGAATAAAAAATGTCTTCCTAATCGAACCTAAATTTCCCTTATTTTAGTTTGAAGCCATTCCACTTTGTCTTATTGTTATAAGACTGTGTAAAAAAAATTAATTAAAAAAAAAAGTGGCTGCCCTCCTGCTTTTAAGCTCCCTTCAAGTACTGGAAGGCTGCAATGATGTCTCCCTGGAGCC